GATGCCATCTTGCTTTCCAGTTAGTTTTTCAGCTTAACAAAAATTTCAACCAACGATATAAAAAGAAAAAACAAAAACATTGAAATAATCACAAACTTCAATATAGTACATTGATTTGGCTATTTCTCCACATAAATGCAAGGTCTGTTCATGAAATCACCGTGATTTGAAAACCATTTTCCCCCAATAGGCTAAACATTACATTGCTTTAGTATACCAGATGCGTGCAGATTTAATGATCATAGACTCGCGACGCGTTCGTCTTTCGACTATCCAGCAGTTGCACGCGGTCAGACCCAGTCATCTGCTCGGCCGTTACACTTGCAGAGCCAACCGAGGTAATATCTGCCGATGGGGATGTTGATTATAAACACCCCTTCATACAAAAAAACGAAAATTGTTCATGCATCGATATGCGAGCTCTTTTTTACACCCTTTTTTAGACTGTCACCCCTCGCCACTGACTACCATCAGTCCCTCTGGATGCTGTGCCTATGAATGCCAACTGTCTGTCCGAAGCCTATCAGTACTGCACCAAGTGCGTGCTGTGACCCATTTAAACATTAAAAATAAAAAATAAAAAAAAATATATATATATATTATACCCAAATAATTATAAATCAAATTAACTACAAAAAGTAGTTGAAATCAAAGTGAAAAAAAAGAGAATATTAAGCACAAAGTCATACCTGAGTATTGATGTTTCTCTCTCTCTGTGTCTTCAGCCCTCTTCCAGAGGTACAAGTAGCAAATGAAGGGTTTCTGCTGGTCTTTATATAGACACATAGGCTACCTTGAAATCACACCACAGCAGTTCCTTGAAATCGCATGACAAAACAGAAAGCAAGACAGAGAGACACTTTCATTTTTACTTTCTTATATGTCATGTGACTTAAAGGAACAAAGACACTGATACTTAAATATGTATAAGCTAGCAGAGAACTTTCCTTTGTTCTTGTTATCCTCTAAGAATAAAATGCAGACCTACTTTTGTCTTTATTTCAACAGTTTAAAGCAATTTTTCTACTATAGATATAAATGTAACCTTAACACCATGTATATTTTATTGCATATATGAACATTATTAATTCAAATGTCAGCACTCTTAACCACAGTCATTACCTGAATATATTAATAAATGACAATTAACTTTGGATATGAATAAATACACAAAGAAGTAAAACAGAAATAAATAAAAACAGAAAATAGATGTGATGAAGACCAAATTCCAGTGAAATATCTTCACAATCCTCCGATGTCTTTAAGGCCTCCATCATTTTGGTGTGAGTGAGTGTCAGTTTGTCTCTGCAGATGACAAGGTTGTGGGATGTGATGCATCTGAAATACACAATTGAGTTTAGAGTTACAGTGTGTCTCCTTCCATTTGTTTAAGTAAAAACAGGTATGTTCATGAAAGCCAAATGTAGCAATGTTAAAAGGAAAACGTGATCCCAAGTCATGGGATAGGTTTAAAGGGGTCATATGATGCGATTTCAATTTTTCCTTTCTCTTTGGAGTGTTACAAGCTCTTGGTGCATAAAGAAGATCTGTCAAGTTGCAAAGACTAAAGTCTCAAATCCAAAGAGATATTCTTTATAAAAGTTAAGAGTCAACCACACCTACCTAAACACATTATTTAATAATATAACTCGTTCTAACACGCCCCCACATGTCTACGTCACTGTGTGGGAAGATTTGCATAACACCGCCCAAATGTTCATGCAAAGAAAGAAGGCGTAACTTATTCTCGCTGTAGTATTGTTGTTGCCGCTGCCGCCATTCACGAGAAGACGCTGTGTGTTTCGTTGTGAAAGCAAAACTACTTTGTTTGGTCTTCCAAAAGAGGACGATATCCACTTCGTCATGCCTGGAGCTGATCCGTGCTGGTCGCTGAGGAAATACATCAACTTTGCGCTGTGGATCGCGTGGACGATGCGGTCCAGCCCGGAGTCGTCACATATCCTTCCGGACGCTCCTTCGTCGAAATCGCCGTTCTCAAGCCCCCCCGCCTCTGCTCACTCTAACCCTCCCGCCATTCCTCACTTTATCCCCCGGCCTCGGCTCACTGTCACAGTTTGTGGAAAATAATGTGTTTTTTTAACCTTAAACCGCATAAACACATTTCATTACACCAAATACACAAAATAATGTTCTTTTTAGCAGCATCATATGACCCCTTTAATGGTTAAATTATTATTATTTTTTAACGAATTAACCATTTAATTAACCCATTTATTTATTTATTTGCATTTTTTTTTAAATTTAATTCATCAATAATAAAATGAAATAATTTATATATTTAAATACATTTTTGGGCCGCTTTCAGTTTCTATAAAACTTTTAGACGCTGTTTCAACAGAAGGCACTAGGTGACACTCATGGCCCATTAATGATTTCTTATCTAAAGGACACTTGATCTGACACAACACAAACTGAGATCCCTTTTTAAAATTGAAAACATTATACAAAGGATATAGACGGCTTTTAAACAATTACAGACAGAGTATACATTGCTTTTGACATCAGCACAAACACATGGTATAACACCGGACAGGGGAGCCGGACACATCCATTCCACTCCTCCCATGTTCCTGTTTGGAAAATAATGGAGCATATTCAAAATAATTTACTCAAATATAAATCTTGTCTCAAATCAAACAAACCAAATGCATGAAATACGAACACATGTGCACAATTCTTCTCACAACACTGCTGAATAAATGCTGCTCATCTAGACTGTTGTAGTCATATAGGCCTTATAGCTAGCAGGAATGGAAACAGTGCAATGTCAGTTTGTTGAATGAACCCCGTGACCTGATCATCCACTAGTGGCATGACAGATTCTTAGCTCAGCTCATTGTTTTGTTGGCTCTGTGCAGTATAAGGATAATAAAGGATATGTGTAGAGCTTGTAGCCCCACTTATTTGGCTTGTCTTTGTGGTACTGCGTTAGGCTATATGGTTGCTCTGTCAAACCTCACTCATTGTAGTAAGAGGCCATGGTCATATCGTTTTTAATAAATCATTTAGAGTATATGTGTATATGATTAAAAAAGTTAGACCAGATTTCGATAGATTGATTGCATCATGGACAAATAAATAAGAGGTTAATGGGGCAACTCACCCCCACATGGCCAAAGTCACAGCAGGTTCTGCTTATCAGAGTTCAGCAAATAGTTGCCGTCCAAATGATGCAAAAAAAAAAAAGTGCCTCACTTTTCATTGGCTGTTTGGAGGTGAACTTTACCTTCAGTTTACTCAGTTTGGATAAAACATTGATTTTTTTTCATCTGTCAGTGCTGACCACTCACTTTTAACACCCCCACAATTAAAAAACAAAACAACAACTTTGTTTTATTGTGTATTTTATGAATATCACCACTTTTGTGTTCCAAACTTGTTGACAATGCACTTCAGTCTTTGAAACAATTGTTGTATGGATTTATGTATGATTGTATGCTTGTATGTGTTTTCTGTGGTAATCAATATTATGCAACAGGTGCTGTCCATATAGCTCATTCTTGTTTCTAATTTCACAGTTCATAGATAAATAATTGTAAGATTTTTAAACCATTTTGTCTGTGGTGTTACACATAGTTAAAAGTATTGAGAGCCAGTAACACCACTGATAGACAGTAAATTGACTTTAAACACAAAGATATTGTGTAGAAACTTTATTACTAACAAAAACTTGACCCCATTAAAGTCTGTCCTTTACAACAATTCTATTACTGTTAAACACTGCAAAAAATGGCTTATCTTACTTAGTATTTTTTTCTTGTTTCTAGTCAAAATGCACTTAATTGAGTTTTTCCCCCCCTGGAAATAAGACTAAATATCTTAAGTCATTTTGATTATCTAGTAAAAGTATCTTGATTTAAGAATTTAAACACAAGACAAAAATACTAAGTAAGACAAGCCATTTTTTTGCAGTGAAGCAACTGAAGCTTCAAGTACCAGCCTCAAGAGTACAAAGTCAGCGCTTGATTACAAAATAGATTAACATGGACTACAGACCACTGATAGGCATATGTTGGATGAAATGGAAATAAAATCAAGTTTATATTGATTTCTAATGTCTTTCCAGTGGATTCATCTGCAACATTAATGCTAGTTTTTTTTAAATACCTTCATTTAAGGACTTTTGACCACATCATTTAATTAAATTGGCACAGCGAATAATATATATATATATATATTAAAAAAAAATCAATTGACATAGCGTTTGTATATTGTGCCAACGCAACATGAAATTAATGACACTTATTTAATGTTAAATATAAAATAATATTTGATCAAATTATCTTCTATTTCAATTTATGTCGAAATAGTATACATGCATTGTGTAAAAGAAGCAAAAAGCATAAATCTCTACTCATCTGCACGATCTAATAGACTATCATAAAGAACTGTAAATATTAGAGTTATAAAATGTATACACTACTGGTCAACAGTTTGGAATAATTAAGATTTTTTTGAATTTTTTTTAGTATCTTATTATGTATTTTTAATAAAAAAATAAAAGAAAAAAAATGAATGCTTTTTTTTTTTTTCCCAGCAAGGATGCATTAAATTGATCAAAAGTGACAGTACATACATTTCAAACATCACAAAATTGCAAATAAATGCTGTTCTTTTGAACTGGCTATTCAGCTAAGAATCCTGAACAAAATGTGTCACAGTTTCAAAACTATTAAGCAGCCAAAACTCTTTTCAAAATGTATTATAATAAGAACCAACTGAGCATTAAATCTGCATATCAGAATGATTTCTGAAGGATTATGTGACATGCAGTATGCCCCATTAATCATAATCCAGAAACGACGTTAATTCAAACAAAACATCAGTGTCAAGGTGAATTCTGCTAATAGTTAGCGTGAGTTAACAATCACCTCTGACATGACACTCCCTCACGTCCCTCTTTTATATTTGTTTTAGACGTCATTTACATTGGCAAGCACCTCTGGCACTAAATTGTTTGCTTATATCCCCCTGCAGTGTATATTATAAAGGTCTGGACAAGCGAGGGGGACTTTTTCTTGGTTGAAGATTTATCGTTCGTGTCCCTGTGCAGCATGAGAGAGCTGGTGATATTAGCAGCTTTGGTCTCGGCTCTACACGCAGCCAGCCTCCCGACAGACACTGATGTGCAATATGAGTGCCAGGAAGATCAGGACAACATTGCTACATTAGAAGCTGAGAGCTTCATTAATGACCATCACCGCCATGGATACAAATTCAAATTCGTCTCACTGGACAGTCGCAGTGCAGAGGAGAAGGTGAGGCTTTGTGACACTGTCTTCCTGTGGATGTTTTCATATCTACATAAGGTGTAAAAGAGTGATTACAACCACAGAAAAAGAAGATAAATTAAAGGAATAAAGTATGATGTGCAAATGCTACAAATTGTCTTGTTTCTGTGCAGACTGATCCTTGTGAGGTCGTCTTGGGAATAACTCTAGAGGAAACTGAGTGCCACATTGTGAATCCCAAACCTTTAGATCAGTGTAACACTAGAATGGAAACACAGACGGTGAGATGAACATCACAGATCTTCCAAACCCTAATTTGAGAAATACTGTCTGTAAATACTGTCTACTTCTGTAAGTTGTGCATCTATTTAACAGCCTTTAATGTCTCCCTTAAAGAAAGTGACAGCAAAATGTAATGTGACCGTCTCCAGTGTTGAGGGAAAAGCAGCTGTGAAGCGCTACATCTGTGACACCGAACCAGGTAAACAAATCAATAGAATGATTTTTTTCTTTAGAAACTTGACATATCTAGCCTTTCAAAGAACCCATAGTAGTCTTTAAGGTCACTTTGTCAAAGAGTACAGAGAAGGTGATGCATCTCCTATAAGTTACATCGTGATTGTATATTGCTCCTGTATTTTATCCCAGCTTCACATGAAATACTTGTGCTTCATTAATGACCATCACCGCCATGGATACAAATTCAAATTCGTCTCACTGGACAGTCGCAGTGCAGAGGAGAAGGTGAGGCTTTGTGACACTGTCTTCCTGTGGATCTTTTCATATCTACATAAGGTGTAAAAGAGTGATTACAACCACAGAAAAAGAAGATAAATTAAAGGAATAAAGTATGATGTGCAAATGCTACAAATTGTCTTGTTTCTGTGCAGACTGATCCTTGTGAGGTCGTCTTGGGAATAACTCTAGAGGAAACTGAGTGCCACATTGTGAATCCCAAACCTTTAGATCAGTGTAACACTAGAATGGAAACACAGACGGTGAGATGAACATCACAGATCTTCCAAACCCTAATTTGAGAAATACTGTCTGTAAATACTGTCTACTTCTGTAAGTTGTGCATCTATTTAACAGCCTTTAATGTCTCCCTTAAAGAAAGTGACAGCAAAATGTAATGTGACCGTCTCCAGTGTTGAGGGAAAAGCAGCTGTGAAGCGCTACATCTGTGACACCGAACCAGGTAAACAAATCAATAGAATGATTTTTTTCTTTAGAAACTTGACATATCTAGCCTTTCAAAGAACCCATAGTAGTCTTTAAGGTCACTTTGTCAAAGAGTACAGAAAAGGTGATGCATCTCCTATAAGTTACATCGTGATTGTATATTGCTCCTGTATTTTATCCCAGCTTCACATCAAATACTTGTGACAAAATGCCCTGACTGCCCCAGTCTGCTGCCCTTGCATGACCCGAAGGCTCTGGAGAGTGTGAAAACTGCCCTGCAGAAATTCAACAAAGAATCTGATCACAAGTCTTACTTTAAACTGATGGAAGTGGGAAGGATCAGCACACAGGTGATGTCTCTCAAACTTGTTTTAAGCTTGAATATTTAACGCAACTTACATGAGTGGAAATGCTTCTAGCGACACATGCACCAATTCGTTCCAAAGTTGTGTCAAAACGCAACTCATTAAGGCCTTGATATGCTCATGGCGAAGTTCTTCTGAGAAAACAGCAGTTAAGAAAATATCTGATCATAGCAACGTGGATATGGTTGGTAGTTCTTTTGCAGAAAGTTCGCTTTGGGAACCTGCTTCTAACTTTCGAAATGATCTCCAAATGAACTTTGTTTTCCACTTGAATACTGAATTTATTGGCCCAGACACACCAAACTGACATCAAAAAACTAGCGCCGACAAAAGCTGCTGTGTTGTTGCCTCAAGACATCTGTGTCTGAGCCAAAAAGTAAAAGTTGAGCTTGAACTCACCGCAAAGACTACAGCCAGCAAACAACTAGCATGTATGTTCTGTGCCTACATGAGAGGAAATAACTCTCCAAACCAGCAGGTGGCAATAGCCTGTATTCGTCATTCAATAAGGGGAACCAGAAGAGCTAGGGCTGTGCTGGCTTACCATTTTCACCCCATCTCGCTCACCACAGATGTATTTGATAAAAATAATCACAGATGAAGATAAAACATGAGAAGCGCCTTCTGTGTTTATGCTTTTGATTTAGTTGTTTACTTGCTTTCGTCATTCTTTTCATGCACCGGTTTAATAAGTCACCGATCTGTCTCCTGAAAAGTCTGCCTAGTGCCAAGGTGCGGAACAAGTCAAGTAAAATCACATTTATTTATATAGCAATTTGTACAATAGAGATTGTTTCAAAGCTCATCTATAGAAGACAATAGTGTTATTTTCCATCTCAACACACCGCAAAAACTAAATCAACAGATGCTAAAACTATACAACCACCAAAGTGCAAGAATTTATATTGCATCTTGAGTAGATGTTTCTGGCCTCATACTGCAATTCTGTTGTATCGGACATTACAGTGACATAAACAGACAACTTTTTGAATATGGTCATTATGCTCTTTGCTTGTAAGTGGTTTGCATGTTAACAGAATATTTGTCTGTTTTCTTAGTGGATGTTTTCGGGTCAGAGCTTCTTTGCTCAGTTTGCCATTATGGAGACAAACTGTACAAACAAGGAGGCACCCCAGAATGAAGAATCATGCAAGGCTTTATGTGGGGATCAGGCTGTAAGTGCACAAGAAGTTCATTACTTTATAACTAATTTCTTTAATTACTATAATTAAAGGGATATTTCACCCAAAAATGAACATTTTATCATCATTTACTCACCCTCATGTTGTTCCAAACTTGTATGAGTTTCTTTCTTATTTTGGAACACAAAAGAAGATATTTTGAAGAATGCTGGTAATCAAACAGTTGATGGTCCCAATTGACTTCCATAGTATATCTTTCCCCTCTATGTAAGTCAATGGAGACCAGCAACTGTTTGGTTCTTCAAAATATCTTCTTTTGTGTTCAACATAAGAAAGAAACTCATACAGGTTTGGAACAACATGAGGGTGAGTAAATGATGACAAAATGTTCATTTTTGGGTAAACTATTCCTTTAAGGCAAGATGCTACCAACATAATTATTTCAGGCACTGGTCAATTTGAAAATTTTGGGCTATATTTGGCTTCCATAACATGTCTAATGTCAGACTAGTGTAAAGAAAACATAAAAATTACAAATGATGTGTTTAGTTTTTTTTTTTTTTTACACTTTATCTATTTGTGTCTGAAGATTTCAATCTCAATACATCTTTAAAGGCTGTGAGTTTGTTCTCCACTTCAGTAGCACTTACATACACCAAACTTTACAGTTTTATTCTATCTATATTCTGGAGGCTTTTACACAGGGCTATGTTCATATATCATTTGCCTGATTTATATAACACTTCATTTCTAAAAATATGATTCATTTTATTCCTAAAATATGTTTCTGGTTGTTGACAATATTCTGATAAAATATAATTATAGCAACAAAATGAAACAAGAATTCTGAAATACTTGCAAATTAGTGCATTAAATAGATAATGCCTCATTTGCATATTTAAACATAACCTTTCTGAAAACTTGTATTACAAAACAATTATCTTAATGTACTGTGATTTATCAATGGGTAAATTATGGTGATTTTACACAATTCACCTGTAGTGTCTTGTCTTGCCTTAACAGTATAGGCAACTTCATTAAAGGGTTAGTTCACCCAAAAATGAAAATTAGCCCATGATTTAGGGCATCCTAGGTGTATATGACTTTCTTCTTTCAGACAAATCCAATCATATATTAAAAATTGTCCTGGCTCTTCCAAATTTATAATGGCACTGAATGTTTTTTTTGTCAACAGCCCAAAAGAAGTCCAATAAAGCGCATCCATCCATAATAAAAAGTGCCTCACACGGCTCCGGGGGATGAATAAAGGCCTTCTGTAGTGAATCGATGTGTTTTTGAAATAAAAATATCCATATTTAAAACATTATAAACACTTTTCTTTAACTTCCGCTAACTGTCGTACGCGCAAGCCGTTCCTGCGGATGACGTAGGATGTCGGCAAAGCATAAGCTCCGGTGAGAATTTGCTAGTCTCATGAGAACCAATGTTTGTTTACAGGAGCAAAGGAAGCAAAGTTTCCTTACTTTAGCAAAGGAAAACCAGTCTCCTCTTGGC